AGTAGTAGTAGTAGTACTAGTAGTAGTAGTAGTAGTAGCAGTAGCAGTAGCAGTAGTAGTAGTAGTAGTAGTACTAGTAGTAGTACTAGTACTACTAGTACTAGTAGTACTAGTAGTAGTAGTAGTAGTAGTAGAACTCATGGTATTAGTACTAGTAGTGGTAGTCGTAGTCGTCGTAATGGTGGCAGTAGGTCTGCTGATGTGTCAGGGATGGCGGCAGCGACAGGCTGCAGTGGAGGATGCGCGGTAGGCCGGAGCTCCGCTTCGAGGTCCAGGGCTGCACCTGTCACGCGCGTGGTCTGCTGCGATTTCGGCCAGGATTTGGTGCAGCGAAGGTTGCGGCTCCGCCTTGAACGTGATACCCTCTACGCTGGTGCACCTCGGGCGCGGCAGTCTCGAGATCGTTCGCTTCCGCATCCACGTCACGAGCGGGCGATGCATCGGTGTGGCGCCCGACCCTCGCCTCCGGCGCCTGCCACAACGCTCGGGCGGGCACTGGGCTGCTGCTGGTATGGAGCAATGCGGATTGCGCCATCGCAGAGATGTAGCCAGCACGGGCCATGCAAAGCGAGACTGCAGTGGCTCAGTGCCTCAAGTTCGGATGCCAGTGCGAGGTCGGGTAAGCCAGCCACGGAGGCAGCGACGCCTGCTCCGCATGCCACGCATGCAACACGCGTAACAACACTTCTGGTTCCTGTGGTTGCGAACGGCAGCGATCTCGTCGAGTCGGGCGCCCTCACACATGCGGAACTTCGCTTTTGATGCGCAGCATCGGCAAAAATTCCCGCGCCCGTCACGGAGCAGCAAGCACGGTGTTGGGTGGAGGGGCATCTGCCACCGAAGGCATAGAGCATGCAGTATCAGAGAAGCTGGCGGCGTGAATTTTGTCGGCTTGACCTGTTCAGCCTGCGTGCGTCGGTGCGACTTCTGCCTCCGAATCGGCAGAAGCCTCAATGCGCCAAAGCGCTGAGTGCCCGGGTCAGGGGTTTTCCCTTTCTCTGCTCCAACTTCCCGCGGCCCCCATCACATTGGCCTTTCTGTTCTTGTAGCCCAAATGTTTCGCTTGTTTGCCTTCGAAGCCACGGGATATGACATGGTCTGCCGGTGAAGGCAGCTGAGACTTCCCGTTGATCATGGAGAGTCGTTTCGAATGGACCGGGGCCTTCCCTATGGTTTGCAACGCTGTCTCTGCATAACGAGCTTACCAAGCGTTCTGACCCATGTTGCGTGCTGTCTGGTTCTCCACGAAATATAGCACCCATGCAGAGGACGCTCCTTGAATGTCCTTCTGCTCTACAGTTAGCAAGTTTCCGATGTTCGTCAAATGTGTTAAGGCTTGAGTTTTTTCAGTGGTTACATGCTGAGCAATCTTCAGAGAGAGAGAGAGAGAGAGACTCATTGTGCACAGATGTTTTTGTATATGTTTTAAAGGAGCTTGTCGTGTGCATAGTACCGCGCGTCCATGCGTGATATGACACGTCGTCTAGCTATATACCCTGAAACTCCTGCTACCACCGTCTTTTCAAGACAGTATTACAGCCAAAACGTGGCATCCTCTTCCCAGGCCCCAGCAGAAGTTTCGGACATGGCCCACTCCCCAGAACAACCATGACAGACGAGAACAGAACTCTCAAACGTAGAGCCCATTTCTAGCAGCTGCGTCAGGCTCTCGAAGGCTCTCCGAAGGTTTTCCACCATAACCTCCAGACGGTACGAGTTGGGTGTAGGGTTTACCACTGCCAGCACTACGATGCACCCGGACATCCTGTAATGAACTCAGCCTTCAGGGCTTCCGGGCGAAGATATCTCGGGATTGTTCACATTTGTCGGGTCTGAAACAAGTAACCTAGTAGCATCTAGACGAAAGCGCTGCCTTGTTTTCTACTCATGGGCTTCCCAGGGAGTCGGAGTGCCTTATGGCTTCTATGATCTTCCATTCATCGCTGCATCAGCATAGCGCAGAGGGCAACAGGCAACACCTCATTCGACAGAATTAGGATATCAAGGGTTGGAATTGTTGTCCGAGCCAGGTAACAGTTCTGCACAAGTCCAATCAACATCAGAAGACTCTGCAGACGAGGTCCCTAAACCAACATCCGCCTAGGCGGGGACAAGCCGATTGTCAATTGTATCACACGACCCAAACCCTAAAGTTTTGTGCCCTCTTGTGCACCCGCGGCGCGCAGCAATTGCCATCAAAGAGATCATGCGCTGGTAACGTGGGAGCTTCTCAAGACAACACTGCACGTAGAGCCCCATTTCCTGAAAAGTCGCCGCAAAATCCTCCAATGCTTGCGCCCAATCCCCCAAAGTGCCCCCAAAGCATCAGCTCTAAACCGTAGAGCCACAGGACTGTCCTTCATGAATCGAAGGCCCGACCGCCCAATCATTCCATACATCTGAAATCTTAAACTCTGAGTGTGAGAACCAGTCATGATCATATCCTCACAGCCTTCAAGCACTAAGCTTCAAAAGCCCCAGCTGCCCTGCAAACTGCAACTCTGGCCTGGTCACGTTCACCTCGAGGTCGCGAATGCCACGGCCTAGTTGCCCCCAGGGACCTGAGCTCAGCAGTTTTTTCTGCTTTTGAGACGGAGAACCACAGTATCTAAGTATTACGAATACTAGCATGCCAACCGACGACTACGACGACGACCGCCAGGACGACCAGGACGATGGCGAAGAAAACGACTTGTGCTGCTACTACTGCCACCACGACCACTTGTACCAGTGCTACTGCTGCTACTACTAGCACATGTCCCTTGAGAATGAAGGTGTAAGATGCGGCCACACCGCTCCTTGACGAGTGCTCTGCTGGCACACTGCACGGTAAGACGGTAAGGCCGCAGCTGAGTCCCACGTCCACTGAGGCTTCGTGGGATGTTGAGAGGATGCCGGGCCTTCCGGTTTAGGATCCCTAAACCCTAAACCCTATAACCCTGTAAAACCCTAAACCCTAAACCCATTTTGGGACTTTCGAAACATTGGCTTGTCGGGCTGAGATTTCACCTAGGGAGCGTTTCCAAGGCTTCCGGGAATCAGAGTTTGCGGTTGGGGCCTAGGGCCTAGGGTGGCTGCTCATGGCTTCGAGCTGAAGGCCCTGACTCAATCATTTCTGCTTGCTGGAAGCCATGGCAAAAGGAGCCCAAAATAGGAGGTTGCGTCCTTCCCCCAAAATTGCACAACACTTCTGAACACTCTTCAATGAGCGTATCATGCTTCCTCTGGAACCGCGAGGGCTCTGAGCTTCCTCCTGCACAGAAAGCTGTAAGTCTTTGTTGCCTTTTTTCCGCACAGATCCTCCGCATGTTAGTAAAACAAGGGCACGAATCGATGGATCTGAACAATGCCGCATTGTTCATCACTTGCGGAGAATCTTATCCATGGGCTTCCCCTGCACAAGCTCATCTACGAGCTTGTCCATGTACCGGAGCTCACGCACAGTCTTGTCCTCGATGGACTCCACGCGTTCCCCGCCAACGCTGCCAGTGATGAGCCTTCGTTTTGGGTTGAGCTTTGCCTCTGCGAAGAACTCTTCGAGTTCTGTTCTCCGGGCTATGTGCCGAGCGATTCTCTCGAACGGGTACCCGGTAAGCCACGTGACGATCTGGCCGACCTCTTCCATGGTGTGGCCCGTCTCCTTCGCCAAGGCGACGTACCGTGGAAAGATCCTGGCAAAAGGCTCTTTGTAGATTTTCGGTGCTTTCATCTTTTCCGTCTTGCTGGGCAGAGCTCCGGCCCCTCCGGCCCCGGCCTCCTCCTTCTTGGGCTTCGCCTTGGCCTTCGCCTCGGCCTTTCCGCTTTTCTCCGGCTTCTTGACCGCCGGCTTGGGCCGAGCCGCAGTCGCGGCTGCGGGCCGCTTCGCCATGGCAGCGAGGAGGCGAAGCCGAAAGCGTGGGGAGAAAGAGGAGGGTTCTTCGGCCGAGCTGAACCTCTGCTTGCACGCTTCAGTGCGTGGACCAGCTATGGGGATGAGAGGTGAAGGGCTTCTTGAGGAAAGTGCAGAAAGCAAAGTAAAACATGCCCTTGCTACGTTCGCTGTGGGTTGGCTGTAAAGAGGCATGGACCGAAATGCTGTGAGCCACACCTTGGCGTGTCAGTCCGGCCACGGTTTAGGAACCCAGGTCTACGACACGAAAGCAGCGAAGAAAGTGCTGATGTTCGTATTTTTCGCCGGACCTGGGTTTATGGGTACAGCTTGTATCATTAAGCACAACAGGAATAGTGGTAAACACAACTCATCATCATCATCATCAACAACAACTACAACAACAACAACATCGTGACAGTACTACTCTTACTAATGATGATGATAATGATATTCATTACAGCCACAATAACAAGATTAACATTAGTAGTAAGAATAACAACGTTCAGAATAAAACGACAGCAGCAGCAACAGCAACAACAGCAGCAACAGTAACCGTGTATGGGAGAGGAAGTCCCGCCGAACCCAACACACCCAACACTTGTGTTTCAAAGCAAAGTTCTGTCAAGTCTCAGCGCGAACAAGCTGGTAACTGCTTCTTTATAAATAATAATGGTAGCAAAAATAGTAATAATCTAGCCGTCAAAATAGAGTAGTAAGTACTAATAAACAATTTGGAGTACTACTGAGGAGTAAAGAGATTCTACATGGCTCAAAAAGTTTCATGTTATGATGGAGGTTTCCAGTCGTGGAGGAATCCATCGATGGACTCCTGGATTTAAGGGGTCCTACAAACATGCCGAATACTGTTTGGTTGGAATGAAACGGATGCTCCCAAATGCTGCAGATGCGCTCATCCGATTCAATGTTATGCAGGGGGTATGGAAAGTACACGCGTCGCTCCATTTACTTTCTTGGGGTGTCTCGGCCTGAAGGGTTCGCCTAAGTGCTAAAGCAACATCTCATGATTTAGCTGGGCTGTGGGAGGTCGAGGCTGACATGCTGCAGGGATTCCAACCGAATAGGAAGCCGCTGCGTGACACATGAAGCATAATGCTCACTGTTGTCTGGTGGGGCGAAGGTTTCTTGGTTTCTGGGTACCCAGGAAAAAAACCCTAAACCCTAAAACCCTAAACTATGAACCCTTAACCCTAGACCCTTAAACCCCCAAAGCCCTAAACCCTAAACGCCCAAGCCGGCACTCTGACGCCTCGAACACCGTCGAAAGCCCTATGCCCTATAGGGTTTGAGAAGAAGCGGGGCTTGAGAAATAGGTCTTCAGGTCCAGATAGCGGTTTAGGGTTTAGCGCTTGGGGTTTAGATCGTAGCGCCAATCTCCCTCACCCGTTTGGGGCTTGGGACAAAGCCTAGTAGACCCTAAACCTTAAACTCTACCTTCACACGAGCGGCTTGTGGAGGAGTCGCTCCAGGATCTGCTCCGTGACCGGAGCACCATCCGGGGGGTACTTCGGCACTGGAATCGGTGAACGCAACTCCTGAAACCGACCTCCACCCAAAATGTCCAGCACAAACCCCCAAGGCCTCAATCCCAAGGTCGGGACAACGTTCATTAGAATAGGGTTTCCTGGCACATTAGTATTGCACGAAGCCAGTGAAGACTGCCAGGGCAACTGCTACTGGTTCTTCAGACCACTACAAATTGCGCCAATCATGCTTGACCAAGAACCCCAAGTGCGAAACCCGCAAGAACGCCACTGCTCTGCTGGGGCCCAAACGGCGAGCCGGCCCGAGTGACGGCTGAAAGCAAAGGCTACACTTATGAATCCTAAACCCGGAACTCTAAACCCCTAAACCCTGAACCCTAAACCCCGAGCCCCAAACACTGAAGCCTGAAACCTAAATCCTTTGGCGTGAACGTCGCGTGCAGAGGTGAAGGTTCCATGATTGAGGATTTCGGAGATGCAGGCTCAAATGGTCCCTCGTGATTTAAGGATAAAGTTAAGGCATCAGGCTTTGGGGCGGTAAGCCTGCATCCTAAACCTGAACTCCTTCATCTTGAGGTGCAAAACCCCACAGCCTGAAAATCCAAGGGCGTGTTCTGTTTGCGACGGTCGCAACTGCATCGTGGAAGCGGTACTTCTTTGAAGTCCACGTGGGTCCCGAGTTAAACCGCCAAGGTAGGAGGCTATTCGGAAAAACGTGCCAGAAAGCTTGGGTTCGTGTCGAATCCCGCACCAAGCACAAAGCCACAAAACCTTCACTTCAAAACATCGGGATCTTCAACGACAAAAAACTCTATCCATCTTGTTGGTATGTTCCGTTGACATCCAGCTTCCGAACCTCGGCATGGAAAAGAGGACGTCTGCACATTTGACTGCATTTTCTAGGGCACCAGGGTGTGATAAGGATGGACACTCGTTGGTCTTTTTGTGAGATTCGGAGCTTGGTTTATTCCAGGATGTGATTAGTAGAAGGAGAATCTTTTTCGCGCCCGGATTGGGACGGAAGAGGAGTTGCAAATACGGGAAGATTTCGTTTGGGAAAATACTAGCAACGATAACAATAATACTACTAACAGGAACAATAATGATAATAATCGTAGTAGTAGTAGAAGTAGTAGTAGTAGTAGTAGTAGTAGTAATAGTAGTAGTAGTAGTTGTAGTAGTAGTAGTAGTAGTAGTAGTACATAGTAGAAGAAGTAGTAGCAGGAGTAGAAGTAGTAGCCGTCGTTGTCGTGGCGGTAGCATTGGCAGTAGCAGTAGAAGGAGGAGTAG